TTTCTACCAACAACCACGGATTTTTTCAATCCAATAGAATTAAAACTAAATTCGTCCACAATATTGCCTTCCCCACCTGAGAGGAGTGGGAACTGGACGAGGTGGACAGGAATGCAGGGATTAGCATCTACACTGATGGATCCAAACAAGATAATCGAGTGGGAGGTGGTGTCTTTTCAGCAAAATTGGACACCAAAATCGCCTTCCGTTTACCAGACCACTGCAGTGTCTTCCAAGCGGAGATCACAGCAGTCAAAGAAAACCTTGTTGTTCTGACAAAAAGTGTGCTTACTACAAGAAGCATATATATATACTACGGATAGCCAAGCGTCCTTGAAATCACTCAAGTCTCCTATGGTTTCATCAAAGATAGTGAAAGAATGTCTTGATCTATTAGAGGATCTAACATCCTACTTCACGATAAATCTACAAGCATATCCCTGGTAACTGCGAAGCTTATGAACTAGCCAGAGCAGGTACCACTTTACAATTAATCCCTGAAAAAGAGGGAATCTTTATGCCTCTGGCAACTTGCAAACCCTTAATCCGCGAACATGCTATAAATCTAGCTGAGTCTGGGTGGTGACAATCACTGATTTGCTCAACTGGCAGGCAAACGTGGCAGGAATTGGGCATGAGACGCACAAACCGACTATTAAAATTCAAAAGCAATGACATAGGAACTCTGATAGGAGTACTAACAGGTCACTGACATGCCAGCAGGCTAGGTGTACCTTCAGGAGGTAGAAGAAGAGGAAACTGCAAAACATCTTCTATGCGAATGTAAGGCTCTATACAGTAAAAGAATCGCAACTATCGGTCGAGGGTACTGTACGTTTTATGGCATTCAACTCCACTCGGTTGAATTGAAGTTGAAGCAATTCAACTTTACATCAACTCAACTCTTTTTGGGTATTACGATTTTCAACTATTTTCAGTCGAAGCTTAGTTGGTGTTGCCAACCTAAAAATGCTGCGGTTGAATATTTTTATTGAAAAATCAAAACAATTTAATTCAGTTATTGCTCACGAAAATGTGAATAATTATTAAAATGGACGTTAGTCTTGATTTATATTACGATGACAAAAATGTTTGGGGCCAAAACTGATGTGCTGCGCATAAGAAACAGCCTTTGGGCTGAAGAGACCTACGATATCTATGGTTATTACAAAACCTGCTATTAAATATTATGAACACCATATTTGTGCGCTGTGGATAAAGCCCCAGTGACTGAAGAGGAGAAAACGGTTAAAAAAGTTTGTTTTACTAAAAAGTATATTCCTAGGAGTAGTAGATATTACTCCAAGAGTTAAAAAAAATTTTGATTGGTTTGTTCATAATAACTGAATTGAATATTGTGAAACTATAAATAAAATAGTTCTTTTACCCAATTTCTATTAATGTTTTTCCTAGTTTCCTTGTTAGCAGTTGAAATTATTTGATACCCTAGTCAACACCATTGGTATAGAGTTAAAAACCGTAACACCAAAACAGTAGAAGTTTGACAACACTTCAACTGAAATTTTTTTTGACGGATTGAGTTGAAAACTATAATACCAAATTTCAAAACGTCAACCAAAAAGCTTTTGGGTTGAAACCCCTAATAGGGGCTAAGATGATCGACTGCAGCAGCTTTTGACTGTCGAAGAAAATATGAACATATCGAAAGCTGAGAAAAAAGAAGAGCAAATTTCAGACAGTGATCTAATCAAACGAAATAAAATGCCGACACATCTTCGGATTGCAGCTAACCTATTTGTTGGTATAATGCTAGGCGCTATTTTTGTAAACGTCGGAAGTGAGGCATCTCGTACTCGTATGCATGAAAACTTCACATGTTGTTATGATATGTTAAATCATTTTATGTGCATCGCATTATGTTATTCTCGGAGAATTCCTAATTTCGCAGAATTCCAAGTTTCTGTCTTACGACTCATTCGTTGTTCTTTTGGATCTAATTAAACGAAATGTAGTTTTTCTATCATGTGCTGCTATGATTCCACATACAGAAGTACTTATATGTATCTATTGCCAAAATAAGTTTTTTCATCTTTCAGTACTTAAATAACGTTTTCTTCTTAGTTACGCTCGAAATGCCTGTTTTACCGAAGGAGCACTTAAACCGATGGTTACAAGCGAACCCTTTATTGCCTCTATTGTTTAAAACATTTATACTATAACAAATCAAAAATCATGTATTTTAACTTTTCATTATAGTAATTCTATGCTCCTTAACATATTGTTCGTTCATTTTAGAATGTTATTTTCTTAACGTCAAATCTTGGGACATTTATTTGCCATTATAGGTACATGTTCATTAAATACATATTGTTTAACAACTGTAAAATAAATTTATAATAAACATAGAGAAGGACTAAGTTCGGGAGTAACCGAACATTCGCAACTTGCAAGGATCAAAGCTGGGAAATACCCTCAGATGTTATCAAAGTTTTATTTTTAACAAGTACGGAAGGGTGTAACCGAAAATTTTATATTCTCGCAAAGTCAAATGGTAACCTCATATACCTCGTATCTCTGTATATATACATATATTTTAATTAGAAGTAGGAACTGTTGCCTCAGTTATTTACATTTACATTAAAAATAATTAAAACAATTTGTAAATCGTACTTGAGTTATGTTGTATACGCTTATAATTGATTTTATTTAAAACGCATTACAACTGTATTGAGAAGTATGAAAAGAAATCGACTAGAATTCTGACAATGAATATAAAATTTATATTTATTATATCAATATTATTATACATGTTTAGCTTGAAAATAATAAATATTAACAACTTTAAAAATAATATTATTATATTAATTTGTATATAATCCTTACAATATTAAACATAAGTTTTTACCGAGATTCTTATACATACATATATCCAAATTACGGTTCATTTGTCATTATACTATTTAAATAATGTTTTGTATAATAACAAATTATACATATAATTTTAATTTTCTTAATTAGAGTATTTTCATAATTTTCTTTTCTACTGTCAAAATTGATATACCATTCTAATGTCATTATGTTTGAAAACAAATTAAGAAGTATTGCACTAAGTCTGAAAACTTAAATTCGAAATAAAGATACCAATACTGTCATGATAGTTGTGTACTGTCTTATAAGTAATTGCATTATCTATGTTTGAAAATGCCCAATGAATTTGTGCACCTGCAGGTGTATTTTAATATTCTACACCAAGCAGGGAACTAAAGTTTTTTTCTTGGAGAAGATTTCTTATTGTAGTCCCTGTAGACTTTAGACAAATGTTAAAATCTCCAACAATTAGGGCGTTTTGATTGTATAACTTAGAAGTAAGGACTTCCTGAAGTTCTACAATTTAATGTCTGACAGGAAAAGTTGAATTTCTGTATAGAACCAGATATTAATATTGAAACAGTGAAATAAAACCGCTTCTAAAAATTTGCGGTCTGACAAAATTTCCTTTACAGGCTTTGATTCTATAGAGTTAGCAATACTAAGCTTTGCATATATTATAATGCCCCGTTTATTTCTGTTCCTTGTTTCCGTGCTATCTATCCTGAGCTCCTTAATTGGAGTAAATCCTGGTATTTTAAAATTTTTGCAAGGATAACTTGAAATTTTTACAAAACATAAAATAAGAAGAGATCTGAAGATAGCATCAGGCAGTCGCTTTTTATATCATTAATGTGAGCGTGGATACTCTGAACATTATTGAATAAAATTTAATGTCCTGATGTTCGGGAAATCGTAAAATTGAAACTTGTTGTCAGAGCTTTAGTTGTGTTCAACTCCATCAGTTCCCTAAATACAGGATCTGATTCAGAAACTTTCTTAGAAGGAATAAAATTTCCTATGTTGCAGTAGTAGCTCGACTACAAGCGACATATATCGAAGCTCTAGGCATTCCGGGTCGAGTATGAACTACAATTTTAATAAATATGGCACCCTGACTTTTATGAATAGTTATTCCTTCAGCCGGAACAACTTTTGATTGATTTGTTTCAATTGAAATTTGTTCATTTCTTTTTTATTGAAAAAATTTCAGAACTTTTTCAATTGGTACATTCTAGAGGATGAGGCGTTTTTGATCGTGCTATCAAACTAACAGAAGGTTCCAAATATTTAATCCACAGAGTTGTTGGAAAAGAACAATGGAAATCAATTTACATAAGTTGTCCACTTGTCCCATTAACCAAGCCATTACATGTGTTTATATTCACAATATATTTGGCGGAAGTTTTTAGTGTCAATTCAATTTGAAAAAAGCATTTAAAGTTTTAAGTAAGTCAAATCTGTATTTCCAAAACTATTACTGATATCTACTTGAGATAGATTTAGGACAATATTCTAGAGATGTTATAGAATTAAATAAGATAAGCCGTTATACCCATGTAACCCCTATATTCTTCATAACACGGCAGAACGACAGAAAATATTGAAAAATTGAGGCCCACATATTCAGTACTGAGGACTTCAAAAGTTATCGCTTGCACGGACTTACTTAAGAGATTGGTTTCAGGTGATACAAACCACGTTAGGTAATCAAAACTATTACATATATATAACCAAAACTATTATCCGTTCCCTTGACAGTCGGGTCTAACTACCCTTAAAGGACCTGGATTTTTATCCGGTCAAGGACAGTCAACTAGGCACCATTAGGCACCTCGAAATTACTACAGGAATGTTGTTGTTGTTGTAGCGGCAGAATTTCGCCGAGTTGACAGTCCTTGGCCGGAAAAAATCCGGGTCCGTTCCGGTTACGTAGACCCGACTGTTATGGGAACGGAATGTTTTCTGCCGCTACTATAACAACCAAAACTATTATAATCTGTATGTTGCGACACACATGTGCAAGAGTATAAAAATGTTACGAGAGAAATCAACATTCATTGTTCGACGAAATTGTGATTGGATTACAATCAAATTTGTATCGTTTTAACTTATATTATAGGTAACAGACTTAATTAGTTTTATAACTATATAAATTAATAAAATATAAATAGTCTGAATGTGTAAGTTTGCCAACCAAAGCTCTAGAATAAACATTTACTGCTAAATTTATGACATTTTATAAGCAGTGTGGACAATATTTATTTCTGGGTGTTATCGTTAAGTTGTTTAAATTCGGTAGATATTTTTATAGTACATTATATTCATATTATTGTAATATTTTCTTAATGCAGGTACAATCCTTATATGTACATGATAACAAAATCACATTTAATATTAATATTTAAACTTTTAATGATTGAGCCTCCGGAATATCACTGCCTTCGATATTACGCCCCAAAAATGCTAAACTGTTTTCATTGTCATTACATTGCGACTCAGTTAACTATTAGAAAAAAAAGAAAAAGTACTAATGAAATCCACTTTAAAATTTTGACATATACAACTACTTACAGTTATGACTTTATATCCCAGAGATGACAATAATCGAATCTTTAGTCCTATTAATCCTATAGGAGACTTACTAAATTTCATCTTTTGCTCTTCAGGAATTAGCTCCACAAATACTCTTAAATTAGCAGGTTCCTTATAAATCACTAGAACGTTAGGTATATTTATACCACTAATAGGACAAACTAATTGAGCGGAAAGTACATTAGAGTGTTCTGCTATTTTCTTTGACATATCTATCAAATTTTTGCGATTTTTTAGTAAATATGATGGAGCTTCTGTGTCGACAGCAATTTCCGTTGATCCTTTTATATTTTTTAACTGCCATTTCGGCTCTTCTATCCTAATAGCTGACAGGAGCACCTGTAAGCGACTCTCGACTTTCGGTAAATCTCGTAGATCTTTTTTGTTAATGAATCGTGCATTTAGCTTCAAATTTACCGTTTCCTCAATAAGTTCGCGTGATTTGTAGCCTAACGTCCACAAAGATAAACAGCTATCAACTAACTGATCCACATAGTTTCGAAATTCACCTTGGTCAATTTTATTCAATAGATTTGACTCAATTAATTGAAGATCAGATGCTGATAAATTACAATTAAGTTGTGCACAGCACCAAAGGAATGTAGAGATGTCTTTACAGCGAACATTTTCATCATTCATATCAATCTTCCGTGAAGAAACTAGTCGATTTAAACATTGTTTTATCAAAGAGTCAATTGAACTCTCATCATCCCAAAGATTATCGGCAAAGTAAGCGAATAAATGAATGCAACCGCGTAATTGAAGCCTCTCAACTATGCCTTGAGTACAGTAATTTTTTAGGTGCTCACACACCTCCTTTGATTGAACTCGCTGAAAACGCATTGCTTTAATTAAAGTCACTAAGAGTGCATCATTTGCCGAATCCTCAAGTGAGAGCTTCAGTGTTTCTTCTTTTAAACGATTATTATATATATTGCTTTCTAAACGGGTTGATGTTTTAAAAGCAGCATTAGCCACTGTAATAAAGTCTAAAGTAGTTAATGTTGGAATATATGATTCTAAATTGTCATTTAGAAAATTTGACAAAGATACAACATTTGTAGCTCTTCGAGTTTTCTCCAAACCCAAATAGAAACACATTTGAACAAATTTTTCTTTTGGTGTATCTGCTGCAATTCCCATTATTATATGTTTCATTGCCGCATTATAAAAATCTGTTCTCGTAATCCAGTTGGGCATGAGATAAAGAAAAGCATATAATGTTCGTAGAATTGTATCGAGATCCATGTTTGGAAGCAGCCTTATGGCAGTCGCATCTATCTCATTTATTAATATGGCATACTTGTTTAAATCAGCACTAGGCCGGTAGTTGAATGCGTACACTATTAATGCCGGAAGTTGATCGGGAGATATTCGAGCCAGCTCTCTTTGAAAGTAACGTGTATCACTTATTGGAAAATAATCAGCATACTTGATTACTGTCGGTACAATTGGAGCATCTTTCTGTAGTTCTAACGCTATATGCTTTGCAAAACGTGTAAACAATGTCCCAGTTTCATCAGATGTTTCATTTAAGATATTTCGTACTGTAAAAGAAGCTAGCCGTTGAATCGCAACTTCATACCGCAGTATTTGCAATCCTCTAAAAACAGACCGATTTCCTAAACGTAGGAATGTGTTTATCATGATTATTACAAAAAATTACTTCCTGAAAATATTTAACACTTATTTCGGTTTTTATATAATTCAATGAAGATATACATATAGAATGACCACATGTTATAAATCAGCTGATACACAGGGCAACGCATCAACTTCGGACTTGGGGATTTTTTTTATCGTAGCCAAATAATTTGCGATTACAATATTTTAATTTTATCTCTTTTAAGTAAGTTTTTAAGTAAACTAATTCAAGTTGTTATAACTCTCGTAATATTATATCTTAGTTAAATTCTACTGGTAATAATTAAATACATTCATCCAATTGCCGATTTTTTCAAACACATTAGTTCACCCATCAGCTGTTTCTTGTTTTCTTTTTTTACGGTGAACCGATCTGTGTCACACCTTTTTGTTATTTTAATTCGTGGTATTTTCATTTCAATGGCTAACAGGGCGGCTGGTTTGGTAATTTCTCGTAAAATTGGTGAACAGATTCAATATTTGTTGTTACGGGCGTCTTACGGAGATTTTCACTGGAGTTCACCGAAAGGGCACGTCGATCCGGGCGAAGATGATTTTATGGCGGCTTTGCGGGAGACTCAAGAGGAAGCCGGGCAAGTGCTGCGTTTATAATTATTTATTGATAAGAATAAAGGTGTTAACTAATATTGCAGGTATGCTGAGGAAGACTTAATCATCTTTAAGGATCAACCAAAAATACTGAATTATAATGTAAAGGGGAAACCGAAAGTGGTTATATATTGGTTAGCTCAATTAAAAGACTCTTGCAAGGAACCAACATTGTCTGACGAACATACTGAAATGAAATGGTTAACAAAAGACGCTGCAAAAAAAATTGTTGGTTATAAGGATAATCAGCAAATGATTGACGAATTTCACGAATTCATTCTTAGTCTATCATAAGAGTTCTGCAGCAAATTTTTAGGTTCAATATATAAGGATTTGGATAATTAGTGTAACGAATTTCTCGATAAATCGTCTTAACTTTTGAGTTCGATCACTGAATTGTCAAATAAAAAAACCAAACAAATGGGTATACACTTATATTTATTTCAAATTCCAACATCTTTACGCTTTATTCCTCATTATCCGAGTTTACAACTTCTTACTTAGATCTCCTTTACTCCGTACCATTGTATAAATCTACAAGTAACTAATCCTAAGATTTTCACTAATGTACACGCAAAAATGTTCCACTTGGTACGGGTTGCCTCGAAAACTACTACTAAAATCACTCTTGGTACGAGTTGCCTAATTATATTCTACTACTAAAACGTCCAAATGACACAAATCTGCTATAGTGAGTTGCCGTGTTAAGTTTTAAAATTTATAACTTTAAGAATGTTTTTATTACATATTCAAATATTTTTCGGTTGTTATAATTCGTAAAGATTCAATTTACATAGTATTATTTAAATTATTATTTATTGTTTTGAAATATTATTTAATGTTTCCAATTTTTTCTACAAGTATATAAAACCCATTTGTTTCGATAATATTCTTGAAAGTTTTCATTATTATTTCCATTACGAATATATGTTCATTAACAAATTGTTAAACTACATCCTTATATTTTAAACTCTGTATCAAAAAAGGCATATTCAATCAGGTGATCACAGCTGTTTCACACACATAGGAAAACAGCTGATTCTTTAGTTACTTGTAGCAGAGAATGTAAAATATAGAGAAGGTCCAACTACGGACCAGCGTGTGAATTGTCAAAACCTAACAAAATACGATGAGCGTGTTTCACCCAGAGATAAAATCAGAGATAATAAGAGAACCAAACTCTTTGATTCGAGAGAGCGCTGTCAAAGTCCACATTTTTTATAACATTTGACAGTGGTGCCACTAAGGAAAGAAATAAGTTTTGAGGTTTTTTAATGTATTTCTTGGGTATTTTTCGTTTTCCATTTTCAGGAAAATATACATAATTAAAATTAGTTTAACAAGCTAGATATACTATATGACCAGAGAATGTAAATGAATAGATAAGGAGCAAATATTAGCTGTTCTAAAATGTTAATTACGATGAAGGAACATCAAATACGCGCAAGTTCGAAAATAAAATTTCACCACAACTATCAGGGTACGAAACGAACTACACCACTCTATAAGCAAAATGTATACACATACATATGCACAGATGTTCTTTGATATGCGCATAAACAAAAATTGAAATAATAAAAACGAAAGTAATTGACTTTCGACAAGAAAATATAAATAATGAGGGAAATAATATGAAAATAGAATTCAAATATCATTTAATAAAAAAGGGTTATAAAAATAAAAAGGATATAAAAATATTATAGGATTCGCGTTGCAATAAACAAGTTCGCTATACAAGCAGCTCCACAGACAATATTCAACCTATTAATTCTAATCTGTGAACTCAAACAGCTATTGTTGTTTACTTGCTTCAATGTACATATGTCTAAATGTGAATATTCTTGAAATTGCCTTCTTTCATTCGCATGTCCAAATATATTTGCATATATGTACACATATGTACATATGTATGTACCTCAATATGTCTTTCGCAAAAAATCAAACATTCGCGCAAGTGACAAAAAAACGTAGACGCACCATCTTCGGCCAATAATATTCAAGCGAACTCGCGGCTTATGTTCTAAGTATTTCATATTACAACGACAACAAATTCATTCATAAGGAACGTCCGTCTGCTTCAAAGCAAAGTGCGCTCGTTCATAACTCTGCGCCGCGCTATTTTTTCTGTGCGCCTGGTAAACCACATTTGGTTTTCATATAGAATTCCTACGCAAATGCGAAATTAAGTTTATAAAATGAAATTGAGTTTGAATGGTTTCAGTAAAACGCGAAAACATCAATTTTACAATTTGTATAACTGAAAATCCTACCATTCCCCTCGCAGTTGTATGTTACCCACAAGCTGCTTCCTTACAACATTTGCTAAATATCAGACATTGAAGAATTTGTCTGATGTTCCCTTCAGAAAGGAGAATTGGACTTTCAATAGCAAACCACTGCAAAAAGGACAAACGAGACAACATAGCCGACCGACATTGTCGCAAAATTGTCGATTCAAACAAATTTTGTCAACTCCGCGACGATTCACACAATTTGGTGTCAATATGTATGCGAGCTCATATATGTATCTATGTATGTATATACATATGTATGTTCGTGGACAAAGTCGTCATTTTTTTTTCAACAACCCAATGTCTGCGCGAACTCGCCGTTATTTCGCTGGCTTGCCACTATACACAGAGGCGTTCTAACTGAGGACTCTTACTATATTATTATGTTGCTTATTTTGTATTGAAAAATACTGATGCATTTATGATTTATTTTCGTAATATAATATATATTATATATATATATAAATACACATATATTCATACCTAAAATCGTTTTTAAACTAAATTCGATATATAAAATATATATCTGAAATAATTATGTGGCAGTGCGCCCCAATCCCTCCTTGCCTGCGATCGTTCAACTCGCAAAAAGCAAAAAGTGCGCACAAAAGTCATTGCTTGTGTGGGGCAAGAAGAAGCAAGCATCAGCGTACGTGTATTTAAGAATGTATGTGTGATTATCACATTTGTGTAAATATTTTAATTATTTCAGGTAGTAATATATGCTATTAATGTAATTGAATTGAGATATGCTTAATTCTAATTAATAAAATTAAAACTGAAGTTGTAGGAGTTTTAGGATTTGAACTTATATGATCGTATTCGGATTGAGCTTCTTCACGCCTACGACCTAAGCCACCACAAAAGTGGAAACGCGGCCGCTTAGCCACCGTTTTATTGTTATCTTTTGTTCAATAAGCAATTACTCACTTAACTCACATACATAAGTTGGAAAACTAGCCTATTAAATGTTTATTTTATTATGAATTCTGGGGTTTTTACGGTAATACAGATTTTTAATTCAGAAGGCTTTTCATAATTATAAATTTGTTATATCATAGCAATTGAAAACATAAATCTAAATAGGTATGCGCAACGATTTTTCATTTAGGAATATTCGTTATGTCTATTTATAGCATTTTGCGTGATGTATTTTTCTTTTTCGAAGTTATATTTTTCGATGTTCCCTCATCTGGAATTACAAATTAGTACTCAAAAAGATTTCATTTAACATTTGCTCCTTCTCTATTCATTTACATTCTCTGGTAATATCAATGCAAACTTGTGAGCATAATTTACATCGAATGCTCAGCTCTGTTCACGCGCCACTGTTAAAATTTCTCCTTCCGAGCCGACAGTGGTGAAACTCGCTCATCGTGTTTTGCTAGGTTTAGACAATTCACACGCTGGTCAGTAGTTGGACCTTCTCTATATTTTACATATAGCAATATTGCCAATCGAGACTGCATATTGTTAATGTTTAGCAATTGATGTCTAAATATTGTGACGAACATGGATGATAGAACAAAATAGAATCAACGATAAACTGCCAGAAGCAACTAGTTAGCGAATTCGTAGTTGCCAGAATGTTCTAGACTATATAAGGGCTGCCGGATTGTCGCGTTGTCGTGATAAGAACAATTGAGATATAAGCAAGAAGTTGTAAGCTCGAATAACGAGCAATAAGTGTTAAGTTGTTGGAATTAGAAATAAAGATAAGTGTGTAGCCATTAAATTGGAACTTTTATTTAACAATCCAGTGATCGAACTCAAGAGGGAGTTAAAGGTAGACGATTTATCGAGAAACCCGTTATAATATATTTTATGCCATCCATTCCTTGCAATGAACTGTCATTATGGGTAATATTTTAATGATATATGATAGCATATGTAAATATCATTGCTCATATATAATTATCGAATTGGTAAATAAACTTTATTGCAACAATTATTTAAATCTAAATATATGAAATTTTATTTTTCCTAGAAATACATTTGTCATACATACATTTTTGTCATCCTCATTAAATTTTTAAACGGCTCAAGAGCTCATACATGCGCTATATCAGATCGAACATATCTATCCGACGCCATTTCGGGAATGAATATTTTATGATAGCAAATGTCTAAATAGAAGCATTGCTCACCTCAATGGCAATATATTTGACAAATGGTTAGCATTCTACATTGCCTGTAGAGATGCGGCATTAGCTAATATAAAAAAGCAATATCTGCAGACGATGGAATATACTTAGATCCTGTTGTTTATTGATTTTATCTGTTATTCGTAGAATGGAGTTGTAAGGGAATATTTGATGTGTTGAACGTTTTTTTAGATAAATATTTTTAAAATGCTTGGACAAGAAAATGTAGCCGCAAATTTCTGCGGTTTATTGGCTGCTCAGGGATATAAAGGTAAAGCTTTTTTCTCCCAATTTGAAAAGTTAGCTTTAAACAAATATTTTAGAAAAGGCAATTGAATGGCGCATACTTGGACAGGAACGTGATGGTTCAATGCTTGCATCATGGACATTCGAGGATTTAAATACAAGCGTACGTGAGACTTGTTTAGGTCATTTTGATGCAACAGCTAAGACGTTTCACATACTATACCGATTTGTAAAAGAATGTCGGCAAATAATACAAGCCACTATTAATAGAAGTAAAACCTTGTTAGTATATGTTGAAAAAATGATTTTGGTTGAAAACAAAGAAACTCGTCTTCATTATCAAGCTTACATTGTATTGACACGCGTACCAGATGAAGGTACAACAGCAATTCCTTTGTTGGAGTCGCCAACGCATCGGCAAGTAATGGGCCAGTTTTTGTGGCAGAACAAAAAGGAATGTGAAATAAAAAATATCCAAGAAAAATTTATACTGCTTATTCATGAGACTTGTAAGTATACGATCGATAATATATCTGAACAATATCCTAAATTAGCATAATTTAGCTTAAGCTAAATTAAATGAGTTAATATCAAGTAAAAATTTGAGCATATCTATGATTTATTACAAAGCATTACAGCAGATACTCAAATTGTAATCATTACATGAATTCGACTTAGCTCACTGTTTTCCAAACATTTGTATGTATATAAATACTATTTGTTAATGTTGCCGTTGAATTTTATTCAACAGGTATAATGCAATTCGTTTGCAACCTAAAACAAACGGAAGCTGATGGAGATAAATCATTAAATGATAAATTGCATTTAGATGCAAGCATGCTTGATTTCGAAACGATTGCTCAACATTTCAGTTGGGCCCAATGGGATTCAGATAACCAGGCATTATATTATATCCATCTAAAGCCAAAGGCAAAAAGTTTGAGTCTCATGGATCGCGATGAAACCGAGAAAAATAAAGAAAATGAATTAAGTCCCACGCTATCAGCTTTTCAGTTCAATGAAAAGTTGCCTACAGAAACAGTGGTAAGCTTTAAAATTTTTATATACGTATGTTAAACATTATACATATATATGTGTATATGTCAACTCTTCAGCTGAACATTCCACTAAATTTGCCAAAATTACCACAAGGCTCTTTTGACATTGAGCCGATCTACGAGGACGACATTGTTCCTTTGAGGGTTCATGACTCTTCATTAAATTTAATTATTTTGACTAATGGAACCGGGATGTTATTTGTTTGCCACTACTATCTTTACCAACCAATACAACCAAAAAATGTAGATGACACACCAGCTGATAGTACCGGCCCATCTCAGAAGGTAAATGTACATTTTGCATATTCGGTAACACTTCTTCACCATGGCTGTGTAGTTCACTGCGTCATGCCGGGGATACCGTGGGAAAAGGCGCGCTTACTCAAGCCAACATTCGCCCTACATGGTATCCATCATTTGCTGGTTTTCCAGCCAGATTTATTTGTACATTTATTAGATGTGGGATTGAGTCATGAGCCGTGCTGCCATATAGTGTGTCCTGCACATAATCGCAATCCACTGACTCAACTTGTACCATGTCAAAAGTGGGGAGCCTTAGCTTATGATACTGCAACTTTGGACCTGGTTTCGCTCAGTGTTCCACGTGGTCATTTGATTGAAGCTTTTCGTAATGACACATCGGTCGATAATCGACTCAGTATTATTCATTATTTCCTACTGCATTCCAATGATATGGATGTGCTCCCAGAATTGCTCGGCATAATAATGGAAAGACCGCTGTCATTGGATACTGTAGCATTGCTTAAAGAGGCTTTGGTGGCGGGTAGTTATGCTGCCACACTGCGCGGTCTACCACCGGACGCGGCATCGCTTGCACGATTTCTACCCCTTACGACTGCTGATTCAACACGACCAGTTCAGGCGCGGGTAGCCGATATTAATGTAGGTTTGTCGCATGAAAGCCTATATAATACAACCATGATGTTGTTATCACCTCATCAACGTTTATCTCCTTATCGCTCGGATATTTGGACGCGTTTATGGGAACATTTGAACGAAGTTGAGAAAAAGGAGAGACACCGCTTCAATGCGGAGCAAGTGACCGAAAAGCTTATGTTTTCGTTATCATGCTATCAACCGGAAGCGCTGTCGCGTTGCACAACACCATTGACCCCGAGTGGAACTGTGGGAAATAACTTGAACGATTTTTCTTCTTTCAATAGACGCGAAGTGTTACCCTTTATCGAAGTGGAGACATGCACAGCTACAAAACAAGAACATGTTATATCAGTGGCAAGTATTTGTTGAGACTGTATTTCATTAGAAACTTTAATAATTTTTGATTGACTAGCAGAATATGCGCGAATTGAGTGTACATCTAGTTAAGCATTCCGTTAAACCCAATACAGGATTTCGTTGGCTGAAAGAGACCCTTTTCGAGCGCTCACAGGCTCCAGCTCACGTACATGCCGTTGTCACGCAGTATGTAAGCTCACAACTAGAATTGTCACGTGCGCTATGTTCCCTCGTTTGTCGCGCGGCCGGTCTCGATGCGCGTAATGAGACGGCGCGCGGTTTCCAATTAATGTAATTATTATTTTTAACAAATATTACCGTAGGTATATTTATAATACATTTGTTATTTAGCGACCAAGTGACCAACAATCAACAGTATTCGCTTTTCTTAATTCTGGAGCGTTATTGTTTGGCGGTGAACTCAATCGCTTTTCCATTACCCCAGGGATTTGCTTCTTTCTTCACCTATCTCGGATATCGTGCGTTAACTTTCGAAATGTTTTTGCAATACGTGGAGAATCACGTATTTGAGTTGCAAATTGACGTCATGAAGACAATTATTAACGGCAAAATATACTTATTCATAAAAATTGCACCATGTTAATGCCACACTATTTTATTAGGTATCGATGACCTACCGGAGGGCGTTGAAAAGAAACTTTCCTTACTATCGTCTCTACCGAAATCTCGGGCGCAGCGTTTATTAAGAAGTTGGTCACATCCAGAGAGTTTGATGATACGCGGTCGTGAACATGCAGCGAACATATTATCTGGACAGCCTGTACAACAACGTGGCGGCAACGCAGGTGCTAATGCTAACACGCAGGGGCGCACATCATTAAAAAGTGGTGAGTTAAAAAAAACTCAATTTCAATATACATATATCCCATAACAATATCGGTGACTTGAAGTGAAAAAGGGCTAAGTCCAATTTGACAAAAACTTTAACTTTAACTAAAAAAAAACTACATTTCTAATAACCCTTGTTGCTGTGGCTACTTTTTTTTATTATTATTAGACTTATCATTCTTTTCACTAAACCGATTGAATTAAATTTTATTTGCTGTTAAATTTTTAATGATTTTATTTCACTTATTCATTGGATAGACCCTACAATCGAGAAGGGAACTTCATTATCATATTTATATATAATACTTACAACAATTGCTGCCGTTGTAATCATCGTTGGTACATTGTTTTTTGTTTACACACAATTAAATCAACAAAACTTATAACATAAAAAATTTATGGTAAGCAAAAAGGTTAGTGTGTTAGGGTCCGTGTAAAATATTTTGTGTGTGTGTGGGTATTCATTATTTGTGTTGGTGTTGTGTTATCATTCCAAAGTGATTTTTTGGGAACGTTGTCGTTGACAGTTCTTAGTTGGATAAAAGTCTAGGTTGTAATGATATAGTTGTAACTGTCGAGCAGTTTTTCTATTCAATCACAATTTTTTACTTTTTTGAATTGTCTTTTACGCATAACGTCTAATTTTTCTATAATCCTCCACTTTTAATTTTCAGATATTGCAGCAGACACTTTATCGCCCTTAGATTCATTTTTGGATCTTCTCACCGCCAAGGCAAGCCTAAATGACTTGAACTACAATTTGCTAATAGAAACCACGATCTCATCCATGGAGAGAAATAGTCATAAATCATAAGCTTTATTTTGGATTTAATGTAACACAAGAGAGCATTAGGAAAAAATTTGAGGCCGTGCCATAAAAAATACGTGTAATTCCAGCAGCTAAACTCGAGGCTTTAAATTAAGATTTGTTATTTATTGAGATATTTAATTGACGTTTTGTTTTATGGATTTATTTTTGTTGCTGCAGAAAAGGCATGAAAGCTGTCTAAAGAACTACCTGTAGTCGAAAGAAACTGTATTCCAAAATGGAATTGAAAATATTTAAATCAAAGACAATTTTTTTTTCAACAAGTTACCTATTGTTTTTTTTTATAGTTAAGTTTTTTTTTTTAGTGCAAACTGTATTTTACAAAACAAATAAGTACATACTTAAAATAAATAAAAACATGTACTTATATCTATTAAACAGCTGCACAAGTCGACTTACAGTTGGTTTCAAGTCATTCGTTCGTTTAACCAGAGAATGTTAATGAATAGAGAAGGAGCAAATGTTAAATGAAATCTTTGAGTACTGATTTGTAATTCCACATGAGGGAACATCGAAAAATATAACTTCGAAAAAGAAAGATACACCACGCTGTGTGCGAAACGGAGAAAAGGCTATAAATAGACACAACGAATGAATAATCGGTGAGAATACCTATTTAGATTTGTGTTTTCAATTTCAATGATATGACGAAAATTAAAATTGTGAAAAGCCTTTTGAATTAAAAAGGAGGATTACTGGCAAAAACCCCAGAATTCATAATAAAATAACCTTTGATATGCAATTTTTCCAACTTTTGTATATGCGTTACGTAAGCAATATATTATACTTATTAAACAAATGATAATAATAAAACTGGCTAAGCGCTCGCGTTTCCATTTATATAGTGGCTTAGGTCGTAGCCGTGAAGGAGTTAAGCTCAATCCGAATACGAGCCTATACGTTCGCATCGTAAAATACATAAAATTAAAGTTTTATTTAATTTTTTTATTTTATTGATTGGAATTAATTAGCATATCTCAATTCAATTACATTAATAGCATATAATACTACCTGAAATAATTAAAATATTTCAGGAAAATATGTTCATATGTTTAGGTTTATTGAATATTTCCTTATTATGCGTATTTACACAAATCTGATAATCACACATACATTCTTAAATACACGTACGCTGATGCTTGCTTCTTCTTGCCCCGCACAAGCAATGACTTTTGTCCACACTTTTGCTTTTTGCGAGTTGAACGATCGCAGGCAAGGAGGGATTGGGGCGCACTGCCACATAATTATTTCAGATATATATTTTATTTATCGAATTGAGTTTAAAAACGATTATAGGTATGAATTTATGTGTATTTATATAAATATATATTATATTACGAAAATAATTCATAAATGCATCAGTATTTTTCAATACAAATTAAGCAACATAATAATATACTAAGAGTCCTCAGTTAGAACGCCTCTGTGTATAGTGGCAAGCCAACGAAATAACGACGAGTCGCGCAGACATTGTTTTGTTGAAAGTAACCAAATGACGATTTTGTCGACAAACATACATATATACATATGAGCTCGCATACATATTGACACCAAATTGTGTGAATCGTCGCGGAGTTGACAAAATTTGTTTGAATCGACAATGTCGGTCGGCTATGTTGTCTCGTTTGTCCTTTTTGCAGTGGTTTGCTATTGAAAGTTAACTTATGCTCTTTTGAAATATTGCTATTACCGATTGGGCTGCATTTTCATAGCGTCGTATTTAGATAAAATGGGCTAAATCGACAAACTATGGAATAATGATAATAAGTAAACATATAAAAGTACTATATGCAGTGTGCTTAGAATATATAGAAGTAGTTAATGATTTCATATGAATGGCAATTTTATATAAATTTTATAATTTAATGCCATATATAGTGTATAATATGCAAAAATATAAATATTATTTAAACTCGCTAATAGGTCATGTTGCCAATTCTCCTTTCTGAAGTGAACATCAGACAAATTCTTCAATTTCTGATTTTTAGCAAACGTTGTAAGGAAGCAGCTTGTTGACAACATACAAATGCGAGGGGGATGGTAGGATTTTCAGTTATACAAATTGTAAAATTGAGAGTTATGAACGAACGCACTTTGCTTTGAAGCAGACGCACGTTCCTTATGAATGAATTTGTTGTCGTTGTAATATGAAATAATTAGAAAATAAGCCGCGAGTTCGCTTGAATATTATTGGTCGATGATGGTGCGTCTACGTTTTTTTGTCACTTGCGCGAATGTTTGATTTTTTGCGAAAGACATATTGAGGTACATACATATGTACATATGTGTACATATATGCAAATATATTTGGACATGCGAATGAAAGAAGGCAATTTCAAGAATATTCACATTTAGACATATGTACATTGAAGCAAGTAAACAACAATAGCTGTTTGAGTTCACAGATTAGACAGATATGTTATAATATCATTTGTGGTGCTGCTTGTATAGCACACTTCCTTATTGCAATGAAATGTTTTGCCTAAGTTCAAATCCTATCATATTTTTATATATTATACTATTTTTTATTTTTATAACTCTTTTTTATTAAATGATATTTGAATTCTATTTTAGTATTATTTCCCTCATTATTTATATTTTCTTGTCGGAGGTCAATTACTTTCGTTTTTATTATTTCAATTTTTGTTTATGCGCATACCAATGAACATCTGTGCATATGTATGTATATACATTTTGCTTATAGAGTGGTGTAGTTCGTTGCCTACCCTGATAGGTGTGGTAACATTTTATTTTCGAACTTGCGCGTTTTCGATGTTCCTCCATCGTAATTAACATTTTAGTACTGCTAACATTTGCTCCTTCTCTATTCATCAACATTCTCTGCCGAAACTGATACAAGCCGGTTTAAAAATGTGATAGGCGCACTGTCACTTTATGATCAATATATAGGGGCTTTAGGTATTACATTTGCTCCTTGCTTGCGTTTGCAACATGATCGATATTTTTACATAACCTAACCTATGTTCACCCCAATTTCCTGAGGGTAGATTTCCATGCGTTGAGGTCATAAAATTACTGGTCTCTTAAGATCGAAGTTGTAGCACGGCATGCTCAGGAAAGGAGTTTCTTCGACAGGTTACATGCTTGGGTTTGAGTGGGCATGTGAAGTAGTGGTTAGTTTTATTCGGGAACTCTTTGCGTTGAACGGTCAAGTTTGGATAAATAATAGTTTTTCCTTTATAATATCCCGAAAGCATTGCTCAAGGGCCACACTCACATCTTTTTAATTTCAAAAGGCATTAAAATTACGAACAAAATGCGCCTGGCGATAAAAAAGCACAAGTTTTTTTAAATCCAGCTTGCTTTTATTTTTATACCAGTATTATCGCATAGTTTAATAATACTAAAAAACTTTTTCGTTCTGTATTCGAGTATGGTATGACAAGAGCCGAATGACGTAATTTATCAAATTTTCAAAAGCATTCAGACCAATTGCGGCTTTATAAATCTTAATCAAAATCCAGAATTCTGAAGTAGATTCAGTAGGATGCCATTGATTTAAGTGTATATTGTATTTTTCCACCCCCGATCAATACGCGCCAAAGTTTCAGAATTTGTAACAAAACTTTTTCGCCTAGGCCAGAAAATCACCTTTCAATTGGGCTATCACGTTTTCAATATACATACATTAGCGACCCATCCCCGGCTTTGCACGCTAAATAAATAGCCTATATTAAAATATATAGCCTATATCACTCACTATTACACACATCTTACAATACATTTCTACTTATTTACTTTTTACATTTTTACCTATTTATTTTATTTTTACATCAATTATTATATTACAGAATGTCGTTATATACAACGTTCACAGCTTTCTCGGCATTAGACAATACAATCATGTTTTCTCTAGAGATTACTCTTGAAAGAGCGATATACAGTTGGCCATGTGGAAAACAGTCAACGCTAAAATCTAAGCCTTCAACGTTGTGGGTTTGACCCTCCGATTTATTAATGGTCATTGCAAAATATTATATGTCTTTGCCGGAAATTGTAACCGTTTAAATTGGAAGGGCAAATCCGATGGTATCTGAGGGATTCGGGGAATCAATATATCTTATCCGGTAACACATCCTGTGAGTACAGTCTATTATGAAAGTTTTCCGTGATTTTACCAGCAAACGCGTGCCATTGTAAACTTTAGGTGGATTCAGGTTTCTTAATAAAATAACAGGACAACCTATTTTCAACACCATTTTGTGAGGAGGGAGTCCAGACGGTTTCAAAGAGTTTAGAAATTCTGTAGGAAAATGAACAGCTTCTTCCAAATCGAGAACAGTATCGACCTAGTAGTATATTTTCATCGACGCATGAATCTTTGAAAGAATCAATTTATTTACCTTATCTACTTGTTCGTTAGTTGGTGACAGAATCGCTCTTTCTTTAAACCAAGATATTGTCTGATAACTTATGTTATCAATGTCGGAATAGACATTGTTGACTGACTCTTGTCTATCAAAACACAAAGGTTTTCTATGTTAATCCTTCCCGCACTTTGTGTTAACTCTCCATTGGAAACTGTTAGCAGTATCCCTGGAAATTGCCTGTTCTCACGTGAAGATGGCGAAACCCTCATATTTGTTTTAAAGTCTAATTTATTGACATGTGGCCAAAGGTTGGATCTTTTTAGGGAAGCATTTATGTCGTCAGCACGTGTTCCTCGAGTCACAACTGGTAGGATTTGATGGAAATCTCCTAAGAACAGAATTGTACATCGACCCTTAGGGGAATTTTTTGTTGCGCAAATCGTGCAGTGTCGTATCCAGTGCCTCCACAGACATCTAGTTTGACATGGTAGCTTCGTCCCAGACTATTAATGAGCAGCCACGCATCATTTTTCTGTATAGAAACACTACAGACGCTGTTATTATTATTAGTTGCGATTTTCAGCGGGAGCTTGAATGTAGAGTGGCGGTTCGGCCTCCTTCCAAAAGCGTAGCGGCAATGCCGGATGGCGCAACAGCTAACGCAATTTTCCCGGTAGATCTCACTTTTTCTACATCTTAGGACATCAAGGAAAAGCAATTTCCCTTCATTGCATTGAACACTTTTTTCTGATCGATTCTGCTGATCTGATTTTGAGCTATATTTTGTAAGAGTCTCGTTTTTTCGTATGATGTTTCTCTTGTGTATTCGGGCTGTTATATAAATCTGTTAAATTAGTAGTATTAGCTGACATTTTTCTTGTAACTATCGAGGTCCACCTGTGAATGATGAAGGTAGTATAACCAAAATGCCGTTGC